TGCCCGTGAGTTCGGGTATTCCGTGAAGTTCACGGAGAGGTATCCTTGAGTTGGCCGGCCACAGCATGGATAGTATGGAGGAGCCCTGCTCGGCCGCGCCTCTTTCTCCCATGCAAGTCGGGTACGTCTTCCACCGCCTTGTCGCACGCGCTTTGGCCCAGCACTTCGCCGGAGCGCTCAGGTTGCTTGCGTGCCCTGAAAATTCGGGTTCAGCACGCGCGCAGGATCGCGCAGGCACCGAGGCACCCTACAAGCTCCTCCACGTCTTCACACTCCCGCACCACCAACCCGTCGGCCGAGCATGTCCCCCGACAGGGCATACTCGACGGGCTGCGCTCGCGTGCTCTGCTCGCACCGCTCCTGCCGTTCGCTCGCCAGTTCTACGGCAGCGGGAGCAGCTACATCTGGACCGACAGCGCTGGCACCGAGCACGAGGTCTTGCAAGCCGCCCCCTCATGCCTGCACCACACGCAGTCGCTTAGCACGCCGCACCAGATGCCGTTGCGGCAGCCCTGGCAACCAGGCGAGGGCGTGTTCACGTTCCGGGACGATACCTCCATCGTCTGCCCTGTATGGCGTTCTCTGATGCCCTCTGGGACCATGCCTGGGTCCAGCTAAACCGAGGCAACACCCATGTTTGGAACGCAGCTGGCGAGGAGCGGCCGAACTTCGCCGCGCTCAAGTCGAATCCCACCTCGGCCTCGCACTTTTTTTTGGAGCATGGACGCTGCCCCCAAAAGCGCCAAGAGCTCCTTGTGCTCGGTGCTCCCGTTGGGAGGGACGCTTTCGTGCAGCAGCACCGCGCCGCAGCCAGGATGTCCTCCTCGAGCGCATCCCCGCCCTCGGTGACTTGCAGGCGGCCTGGCTGCTGCTGCTGTTTTGCATGTTGACCCGCGCGACTTGCTTCCGTCGCATGCTACCCTCGCACTGCACGGCCGATTGCCCCCGCGACCATGATCGCGCTGCTCTGTGTCTCCGCGCCATGCTCTCCGGAGAGGAAGCGCTCGTGCTGCCGGCTGACGCCCTTGCCGAGGCACCGCTGCCGCTCGGGTTAGGTGGCCTATAGGTCTGCGATCTGCCGCCTCCGGCGCTCCTGTCGCCTATGGTGCCTCGTGGCAGGATGCCTTCCCTGTGCTCCTCCAACGCTTCCCAGCCGATGCGGCGCGGCTGCGAGCCCTGTCGGCGTGAAGGCCTTCGAAGTTCGACAGGACCAGCATTTGAGTGACACCGAAGATAGTGTCAGTGACACTGATCACGAAGAGCCCTTCGGGCCAGGACCGCGGGTCTCGGAGCATCCACGGCTTCAGCGAGAAGTGCAGAGCTCCTTGCTTGACTGGGCCTCTTTCTGGTGCCACGAGATAGGTGGTCTCCTGCACGCCAGCAAGGGCGATGACGCAGTGCGTCTTCTATGTGGCAGGCTTCCTAACGAGAAGTATCTGCTGAGCGAAATTCGCGTTTTAGCAGCTGGCAGACCCCATTGTAGGACATTTGCGAGTCGCAAGAAGAGTAACAAATGTGTGTTGATACAAGTAGTATCATGTTTACCGTCGTGTCCCTGCCTGCAGGTGATGTCTCCGCTCATCACCTCCGCGGTCGAATTTCAACGCAGAGTCCAGGAGTTCCTGGGGAAGGATGAGCCCTTGCGGCTAGTAGCCCCCGACATCCAGACTTTCGGCTTCGGCTCCTCGGCCTATTGCTGCGTAACCGAACGGCCAAGACCGTATCAGTGATACGATGAGGTCGGCGGACGGTGGAATGCCGGTGCGCAGCAGCTGGTTCGAGATCCCGTCCGCGTCCGTGCCCAGCGGGCTCCGCCAGCCGTGCGAAGCGCCGTTTCGTTGGCATGGTCATCGGGCAGGCGTTGATGGGCCATGCTGGCCGTGTCGGCGCAACAAGCCGTCACGAGCACTGCCCTCAAGTCAGCTTGGCCGGCGCCCCACCACACGAACCGGCAGTCGGCCCCAGAGCTGGAACGCGTGCTTGACCTTGCTGACGCAGCAGGCCTGAGCCGCCTGCCGCTAGCGCGGCCTGTAGGGACGTCCTAGGATAGGAGGCTGCGCCGAAACGAGCGGCGGACCCGTGAGACTCATGCCAAATAAAAAGGCCCGTGCAAACAAAGGGGTTGGAATGCTTCCAAAATTTTTTTTATATCCATGGGGGTTGAGGCAGCAGTGCGGCGCCTCGCCTTGGAGAGTCCCACTTTTCAGTATCCAGGATCGCATCAAAGCCTTTGCCCCTTCATCATTGCGACGACCACCACCAGGCCCAGGTCGCCCGCCTCAAGGGCATGTTGATCGAGGGCGAGTCCGACCCGGCGAACAGTTTAGTCTAATTAGTGGACAAGGCAGCTTCCATGCTACAGGACGGCATGGTCCGCTACATCCCTCCATCGCAGTGCGTAAGCAGGGACGCAAAGATCGCCTCAGTGAGGCGCGATGGGGATCTCGTTGCCGGGGAATCACTCTGCAAAAGAAAGCGAACGGCGTTCACGTCGAGACTGGGACATACGGGGACTGAGCTGAAGGTGACAAAGGCAGAAAAAGGCAAGGGCAAAGGCAAAGCTTGAAATGAACAAGAAGACCGCAGCCGCAGTGCGGCACTCAAGCGCAAGCCCAAGAAGGGCAAATGTAAAGGCAAGGGCAAGGAGCACGGCCATGGAGGTAGCAATCGCGACAAGCCCTTTGCATGCCCAAGGAACTGCGGCACCTCCACAGTGTGAACAAGAAAGGCAAGCGGTTCTGTTACGGCTTTAGCCTGCCGTGTGCCCACCTCAGGCACTCACGCTGAGTGTGATCGAAGAGTGCGCCAGTGCATGAGCTGCGGTAGTACCGAGCATGGAGCGTCAGAGTGCCCGAAGGAAGCCGGGGCCTGTCCAGCTCTCTGCTGAGGTTGCCAACCCATTGCCACACGCGCCTGTAGCAGCCGCCTTACAGCACAGTGTGCAGCAGGCATCGGTAGTGCCTTCGCTAAGACCAACTCCAACAGTAGTCGATTTAACAAATTCGACTACAGAAGTCCGTGAAGGTACAGTGTACCAACGCCCAGTTAAGGAAGTTCCTCCAAAACTGTTCGACCTCCACTGGGTTGGGCGGCTTAACAGGTCTGCCATTTCACGAGGCTCCACGGACGTGGCAGTAGACCACCACGTCGAAAGTACTTCAGCTAAACCTATTTTCCAACTTGGGACGCATCTTTTTGAAGCAGTGCTCCAACACCCAGATTTGAACCTGATTGGATACACTGGGCTCCCCACGGGAGCATACGGGAGCTTCGCTTCCGTTGCGCAGTGCACTGCAATCCACTGGCCGAAAAGGCCTTTGAGGAGCTGATAATATCAGGGTTCGCCTTGTGAACTTTCTTGTAAGTTTTTACGTGCAAATGTTGCGCAGCACCATCTCAGAGAAACGTGTGCCCATGCCATCAGTTGAGGAGTTGCTGCCTTCGGCCCAGTGCTCGGAAGAAGAGGACTGTCACCCTTTCCAACAAGTGTTGGTTTAAAGGCCTTGACGTGCAGTGCGACGGCTCCCACATTCACGCCCCGCGGGGAAAGCCACCGTGGATGGCTGCACAGTGTGGGCTACCTCCATGGAAAGCGCATACGCTACGCAACTGGCGTCTGTATGGAGAAGCTTAGCTGCCGAGCAGTGGTCGGCTCAACTCGCGGCAATGCCACTGGGTCGCAAGCAGCAGCGCAAGTTGCTCCACGAGCCGGACTTTTCTGACCACATGGTCCTCTTCGGCAGTGCCGCAAAAACCTTTCAAGCATGGGAAGATCCCATGCAAAATCTCCGCGGAAGGGCAGTGATTCCCAAAGGGGACCCGACTTATCCAGTAGATCCAGTACACACAGGTGGCAGTGCTATCCGTGCCCGTGAACCCTGAGCGCTGGGTGCGCAGAGCTCGCCTCATGGGAACAAACCGCGACCTCCAGTTCCTCCGCAGTTGCAAGAAGGCGCGAGGAAAAAACGAAAAAAAAAGGCAACGGGACACAAGAAGACGAACCGGCACACAGCCGAGACAAACCTGCACGAACCGGGACCAGCCGCTACAAAAGAGGTGTTCGCAGGCCACAGTGCCACAGCACTTCGTGCAGACATTCGTGAGCAGCTGGCAGTGCCAAATGCCGTAACATCACCACACACACACACACACACACGCTTGCCATGTAGGAATTGCAAGCCCAGGTGTTGCAATAAGGTGATCTACGGTGATACAATGTATTGACGAACACCTTGCAAACTCAGAAAGTTTGTTGAACCGTGTTCCCCCGCCTGTGGCCCCCAGCTGGATCCACATATTGCTACCGGGCCAAACCGTTTTGTTGTGCCGTGTGGTTTGCGGTTTTCCGCCTCCTCCGAGAGCGTGTCAGCCTGCACCGCAAGTGCCAGTTGGCCTCCTGCAGCAGGACTTGCCCGTCGTGCCCGGCATGTGCTCCATCCTTCCGCCAGAGGCTTGTAGGAGCCGTGGCGCAGGCCGGAATGGAGCAGGGTGCCGCCAGACTCAATGGTGCAAAAACAGTGGAAACCTGGCGCCAGCTGAATGTGTTGATCGTGCTTGATTGGGCCGAGATGACATACGCTCGGGTTTGGAACTGCCTACATAGGGTGCGCAACAAGAGGCCATGGCTGAGCAGCAAAGGGCGTATGCAGGCAGTACTGCAATTCGGAACCAATGCAGGCATCGAAAATGCGAACTTTGTGATGGGGGGTAATGCGAGAACGCCTCCACGCTCGATTGAAAGCATGAAAATAGGAACTTTAACTGAGCTCTGACCCAATGTCCCCAGATTTATCCAGCACACTACCCAAGTAAACCAGGAAGAATTGCATTCAACATTCAACGCGGAGGCACAGCACAAAAACACCACTAGCTACCTTGGAATAAGATGGTGTCATGTTGTAGCCATGCCGACAAATTGTCATGACCGCATAGAAACCTGTGATTGAACAGCACGGTTCCACACATTTTTTCCATAATTATATTGGACACGTCTTGCCAGCATGGTTTCTGAAGCTCCACGGGCCTTCGTGCGCCTGAAGACGCTTCACGGCCATTTCTCGCAACTTGGCTTGCACAAGCGCCCCGCGGCCCCGCGGCCTTGTTCCGGGATCGAACGGGTTAGATTCTGTGGTTCCATGTCAGCAGTTGTAGAGGTTGAATGGTGCCGAAACCGCCTCAGTGCAAAACGGCTGATATCGCTGGACTCAAACTGCGGTCACCCGTCGATCGTTGCCTTCAGCACGGATTGTTCACATATGTATCTGCGCATTATCAGTAATGTATTTGCCAATGCTGCTGTGCCCTCGACATGGACTCTTTACATTCGCCGCATGGAGAAGATTTTCTTTCCGTCGATGACATGGCATTGTGACAGTGCTCATCGTTGGAATTTTTCGGATTGTGCAGGCAGTCTCCATTTGATGCAGCGGAGGTGGAGCAGCTCTTGGACAGCTTGAAGTTACCCGAATGCCGTTGCATTGCTAGTCATCGTTGCAAGAACCATACGTGGGAGGACCTTTCGCAGCATGTCTTCCTCGAGCTGCGGCACAAAACGCGTGTATACTCCCTTGCTTGCGGTTACATCGCAAGACAGCCGGACGTCGACCCCCCGGTAACGGCAAAGGCAGAGCAACTGTCCCTGTGCGGCAGCATCCGAGTATCCAGGTGCAGTCCTTGCGATACAGTCCGGAGCTGCTGTCCGGCAGCGTTGAGGAGAATGATTTACGTACGGAAGCCACTCCGAGCCCTGGCCAGAAGTTTGGACGCCGAACCAGTCTTTAGAAACCCTTGATTCACACCGATCCTGATTAGGACGACCATTGGCCTCGGCTTCTTCGAATTTCAGTGGAAGGGCCATGAGTTGACGGCCCTGCATCAGATGTTCGGTTCACCTGTCGGTGCCGGGAATGCCGTGGACGTTTTCACAAACTTAGTCGCGCGGATCGACAAGCACACGGACTGTTGTTTTGCGCATTTGTGCAGTTAATCGCAAATCAGCGTTTCAGGTCTTGTTTGCGAAGATCGGAGAGGCAGAGGCAGTCCCTGTCAAGCAGCTGCTGGCATGTCGTACACCGCTAAGATTATGATTTGCAGAGGGTCGCCAAAACCGCTTTTGTCAAGGGAGCCGAGGCACCCACGCTTTAGTCACCCGCGGTTGTGTTCCTTTGTCGTGCTGGGGAGGCTTTGCCATTGTTCTGCAACGAGCTTGTTCAGCAGAGCGAGCAAGTGCAGGCGATGGATCTGCTCTTCTTGCAGTAGCTGCATTTCAGATAAAAGTTGATACAAGCTAAGCAATCCTTGCACAGGCTGGTGACGGAGAGAGAGAGAGAGAGAGTTTCCTCTGCTTGGATTGCAGGCAGGTTTCATCAATGTCTTCGAATGGCTGCTCGGTTTAGAGTTTGGCCGAATTGTGGGAGCAGTACGCGACATTGCTTGGTGGATACTTGCACAAGCCTGAAGGAACTACTGTGAAAGTACAGTCCCTGCCTCCACTCCGTCCGTGCCCGGCCTTTTCGGGGTGGCCAGAGCTCCAGGCATCCGACTCAACAGTACTGGCAAGCGCGGGTTGTGTGCCCGGCGCGGCCGATGGCATCCATCATCTTGGACGCAGGCTCATTCCGGTCGGGTTTCGCTTGTTGTTGTTGAATGCTGTAGTACCAGGGTATCAATGCAGACATATGTAGGGCTTCCTCTTGTCGATCTCGAGCGGGTGCGCTGCGAAATTCTCCAACTCGAAGGAGTGAAAGAGAAGCTGCTGGCTGATCTGGACGAGTTTCTGGCGCCGGAAACTCAAAAGTGGTACAAGGACATGAGATGACGCGCGGTTTCCTGAGCTCCCAGTTCAGCGCGAGAAGATACCGCAGCTGTAGAGATGTCGGACTATGCTGGCAGGAGCATGGAATTCAGCACAAGCGAGGCTACTTGTTTTATGGAGCGCCTGGCTCCGGCAAGACATCGAGCTTCGACAGCATATGAGTCTGGTCTTGTCGCGTCCAAGTCTTCGGGGGAAAGAGTGTGTCGCTCGAAGAGGATTTTTATCAGCTATCATTGAGTTATCGTATATTGATAGGAGCCTGGCTAAGAAGCTGGCCTTTTGGCAGATGGCGGTCTCTACCGGAGCAAGGGGGTGGCCGTGCAGTCTTCCATCGCAAGCACACCCAGGGTACTTCCAGCACGACACCAGAAGAATGTAAAGCTTCATATGCGAAGCATTAAGTCCTTAGGTTTGCTAGCTCAGTCATGCAATAGACCTGGATGCACAAGTCATGCAATCATAACTATACCAGAGGTAACATTCGGTGTCCCGATGAATGGCCTTGCTTGGAGCGAGGCTGGTGCAGGCAATTGCAGGCCATTTTCAGCACAATTTGTGCCCGACCCTCAGCATCTTGTACTCATGGATTGCAGCGACACCGATTCAGAAGTTGCCCACTGATGAACCTGAGGTTATGTGCACTTAACGCACCCCAACCTCACGGACGAGTCCTTGAGGGCAGCAATGAACCAAGCGCCACGTCACTCGCCGCTGTGCCGCAAAGATTGTTGCGTAAAGGTCCGGCGGCACGTGCCCCACCGAGGCTTCTAGTTTTTGAGGACATCGACGCGATTTTCGGTCGGGATCGTGAGAAACTTCTCGCCGACTCGGTTTTGACCTTCTCAGGCACTTTGAGCTTCCATCGCTTGGCGCATGCCGTTTTAGCCTGCATCGCCTGCTCCTGCGAGATGCCGACATCGTATCTCCCTCTGCTGAGTATGCGCTCAGCAGCATTGCAGGCCTTTTGAATGCCCTCGATGGCGTCGGCAAAGCTGACGGCACCTCTGGCAAACATGAGTATCAACACGGCATGCAAGCATGCCGTGCATGTACACAGAGCACTGTTGGCGAGGCCAGATTTTCGTCATGACGACCAATCACCGTGATCGACTCAACCCTGCGCTGATCCGCAATGGCCGAGCAGACCTGCATGTTGAGTTTTCCTATGCCTCGGACAGCCAGATCGCTGGTATGTGTCCGTGCTCACACAAGGGGAGTCGATTGCCGGCATATCGAGGCGAAAACATGCTGTTGGTGCTAGCCGAGGTTTGCACGATTCTATCCTAGCACCGAGCAAAGATGCCAAGACTTTGTCACCAACCTTCGTCATTGCCTGGCGGGTCGTCTCTTGGCATGTGATACAAGTCCAGTGCTTTCCCCCATCGTAGTCATACACGTGTTGACGGCCAGTCGTGGCTCCACAGTTTGCCGGTTGAGCTGTACTCGGCGACATCGAAAGACTGAGGGCCAGTGACGACAGCCGCGCTGCAGCATTTCTTTATTCTGCACCGAAGGTGCTTCTGCGTAGTTGCCTCCGTCTATGTGTGTGCACGGTGTGTGCATGAATGGTTGTGCTGGTTAATGTTGGCTGAGCTTTTCATGCACATGGTCAGGAGCTCGGCGTTGCAAGCCTTGGACAGCGTGCAGGCGTGTTAAGAACAGCTCAGACTCAAGCCAGTCATAGGTTTCGCCGGTTTCGCACGTGCTCAGTCAGGACGTTGTGGAGGAGTTGGAGCAGCGCGCTGACGAACAGCGGATGATGCTTGAAGAGACAGGGAACAAAGCCTGAGGGCAGATCCGGACAAGAGGCCTGGACACTAAATGCCCTGCTTGGGAGAGTCAATGTGCTGTGACAGTGGCAGCGACTGTGCGGATATTTGACGGCCGACCTCGGTATGCGTCCTCATTTATTTCACAGGGGGTGAGAATCGAAGCTCTTGCCACGGTACGTTCCTCGTTTATTTCAGGGGGTGAGAATCGATTCTCTCGTCAGTGGACACGAATGATCTTGTCGGAACGAGCAGGCCGGATTGCTGCATTGTTTGTTGCTGCCACCCCTCAACATTCGCATCAAGTGGACGTAATGGATGGCTGATATAGGTTATGTGTGCAATATAGTTCTTTTGCCATAAAGTTGGTCACTGTACTTGCACCTCGCAGCTTTGCTAGAGCAAGACGGTGAAAACGCTCCGGGTTTCTGGAAGACTGCAAATCATAAGACAACAACACGCAGTTGCCTGAATTGAAGGCAAGAGGTGGGTATCTGAAAAAAAAGGTTTGGCAGAGCATGGTCATTATTTACACCAGCCTGCAGTGTCGCATCGCCATGGCCCAACCATGCACAACAGCCAGGCCCAGCAGAGCTCACTCTGCAAGAAAAGTCAGCGCACCTTTTGCATTGGTGGTGCCTGAGGAGCAGGGTAGCTCGGGTAGCTCTTGGCACTACCGATGCGCTGTCCGGCTGGGCTCTCGGCTGGGACTGGGAGCATTGTGCGGCAAGTCTGCTGCCAGTGTTCTGTATGGAGAAATCGCAGCTGGACTACCTGCATGCGAGATCAGGCCAGAGGTCTTGGCAGCCTTGGCTTCGCTGCTAACACTGGTTTTTTTGCTGTTGGTCGGCGACAGCCAGGCGGAAGTGTTGCTTTGGAGGGTGAAGGTCTGGAAATCGATAGTTCTGCTACTTGGAATTTGCTGGTGCTGGAGCAGGATTTTTCTGAGAGTCTCACGCAAATTTCAGCTGTCCAGCACCTTCTCCGGGTAAGCAGAATAAGGTTTGTTGCTTTTGCGTTCCATGGTGAGGTCTCTCTCTCTCTCTCTCTGTGAGTCTGTCTCTGTCTCTGTGTGTGTGTGTGTGTGTGTGTGTGGGGGTAGGTTGGCAGCTAGGTAGATAGGTAGATGGGTAGGTAGGTAGGTAGGAAGGAAGCAAGGTAGGTAGGTGGGTAGGTGGGTAGGTAGGTAGCTAAGTAGGTAGAGCACACACGGGGTGTCGCGGTGCAAGAATGGGTTGAGCATGGCTGAGCTTTCAGCGCGACCGACCTTGTTCTGCGGCACTGTCGTTTCAGGACCGATGCCACTGAGCTTCTAGCTTGTGGTCTTCTGTAGCAGGAGACAGTGCTGCGATGCGATGCTGCAGGCCTTTGCGCAGGTCGGAGTTCCGAGGGCTTGTTGCTGCATCAGAATACAACAACAGCATTTCACGGTCGCTTCGATGAAGCGCGAAGCATGATTGGTCAGGTGGTGGTGTTGTGCTTGTCGCCAGTGCGGCGGTGATTGCTCAGCCTCAAAAGTGGGGCAGCAGTACCATGGTGCAAAAAGTAGGGGTAAGCAGCAGTATCAGGAGAAGCAGATGCAGCTAAGCTAAGTGCAAAGCTATTTTTTGCTTGGCATTGAGCACCAAGTCGTCTTATGTATCATTTTTGGATGGCTTGGCCCCCTTCACAGCCCCGTACAGTTTTGGGTGCATGCGACAGTAACTCGAAAACGAGCCGTCTCCAGTCGCTCAGGCTTTTTCCTGCGCAGTCTATTTCGAGCTCTGCTGGTTGCAAGCTTCGTGTTCCTGCTACCTGGCCTGCCTGGCCTGCCGTCAAACTGCCCTTGAGATTGAGCTAGGTAATGACTGTCCGCCCTCTAGTTCGCAAAGGAGGCCTTGTATTTTCTGCTGTCAGGTATTTCGGCTTGACAAGTTTCTCGCCCATTTTTGCGGTCCAAGCTCTGACGACTTTGGCTGCACTGACTTTTTCAGCCTCTACTTGCACCTTCTTCGCATGCACCCTGGAGACACATGGGGCGGAGGACTCAGCAAACAAGCTGCCCGGTTCGCTGTTGCTGAATGACTGCTCACCTGTCTAGCTGTGGAAGTTGCAAGACATCGATAAAGACCTATAGTGGTATCACGAAACATGGCCGGGCCTCAAATTAAATGATTGCAAACGTGTCAACGATGACGCGACAAGGAGCCTCCACGAAATCCGCGGGGGCACCGACTTTCACTGAAGCACGTGGCCTTGGGTTATCTTTGCAGCATCGGGAGCTGGCTACTGGCACCTTGGCATGGCAAACGAAATGAGGGTGCAGCAGAAGTCATAACGATTCGGCAGAAAATGGCGCAAAACTGTGCAAGCACAAGTCGTAACATACCCTGGCTATAAGGGGAAAACCGTCTCTAAAGCCGCGCTATGGTGCTGAGACGGTCCGTCAACATGATCGGCACCAGACATCACCAGACTAAGCCCTTGCGGTGCCCAAGATGAGACGGTAGGCGATACGAGCATACATCGTAACTTCGACTGATCACTGAACATCGTGAGCGGTTTTGTGCTGCCAGTGTACACGTGATTACTCAATGGCGGTTTTATGGCGCGGGCACTGGATTGTGTTACGACTTTTGTTTCTAAGCCGTACGGCATAGCTACATCATGGGCAGAAGATGTACTCATCGCTCTTGGTATGACTCTCGGCGCTTGCTTGTGAATTAAATTTGGGCAGTTCTCCCAGGGTCAGTTGATGGAGGCGCAGATTTGTCTGCGTCATGCTTGTGTTTCCGACGTGTCCGATGTTTTTACTTGTTACTTCAGGGCCTCAAACGAGCTGGCAGCAAATACACGTACCTCTGACTGAACGCCTGCCGCTGGGGTTTCGTACGCCATCTTCTGAGAGCCAGATCGATCTACAGTTCTACAGCATCTTCCGCGCGTGCTGTGAGGCCTATTCCGTCTTGCTCCTGCACCAGGAAGTGGATGGCCACCTTGCGGGTCTTTCACGGAGTCTCAGTCGCGAAGAGCATTTGGTGTTGTTCAGTGTCTCGGCATGCACTTAAAGAGGTGCCCGCCCGAGTCACCATCAGCTACGTTTTGAAGAGACACCTGCTGATTCGGGCATGTTTAGCCAGATGAGGTTTCGGAGGGTTCTTCCTCAGCACCCTCGTCGGATTTCTGCTGCTGCTGCTGCCTTGTGGGCACCACTGCTTGGGAGGTGCAAGCGCTTGACTGACAGCAGAACTGGTTTGACTCTGCGTGCTTGAGGCACTGAGAAAGTGAAACCGGAGGAGACTCCGGTGATCCGCCGATGTAATTCCAAGGCGTGTGTTCCGCAAGATGTAGCTGCCACTGCAACTGTGCCGTGCCCGCTGCACTTTGCAGATGCTCGTGTTTGCAAGTGGAAGCCGACGGAAGCATGCCATACACCATCAAATCAGCGAGGAGTGACTTGACGAGTTTGTTCGTGACCATTCATGCAGCTTGCTGGCCAGACTTCAGACAAGCGGCATCGTGCTCTGACAAGGGCCACACCCTCGCACACATGAGCATGTGCTGCTTAGTCAAGCCCTCACACGGGAAACTCAGCCTCTCAGGAAATGAAATGGATTTTTGTTTTTGTTTCAGAGACTTCAGCTTGCAAGGAGTCGCCCGAAAAAAGAATTCAGTTGCAGAGTGGATTGGGGACTCAGCTGTTTGCGGACTTGCGTCACATGCCTACCAACTGCCCTTGCGCGGGTTAACCTTAATGTGGAATCCGACGTGACGCGCTGAGTTCAACGTCGCCTCAGTCCGCGCCCCTTCATGTCAGGTTTGACGCGCATTCGCCTCCCTTTTGCGCAGTTCTCTCCAGGCGGATGACAGCATTGGCATTGGAGAGCAAGTCCAGGCACCTCCAGCTGTGGCCATGCGGGCTATGCCAGCAGTGGGTTGCCGGGAAGATGCTGCACAAGTGCCGGAGACACCACCACCCGCCGCTCGGACGCCGGTCATCCTTAGTGGCTGAATGCGATAGAGTAGGACTCTCAGCGACTCTCTCAACACCCTGGGTTCTCAGGTGGAGCATCGCAAGCCTGATGCGCAGCTTGAAGTCGATGCAAGCTGCCCAACCTTCGAAATGGATGTGGTACCGGCCGCAGACGTTGTGGAGGTGCTGGGAGTGGACGCTATAGCTCATACAGTACCAGTACCCGGCAGACGGCAGAAGTGTAGAAGCAGGTCATAATGTCGCCTTACTAAACCCCCTAGCCCGCAGCCCTGAACGGGGCTGCCCAGGAGCTTCTCGTTGAGAAGGCTCTTTGACTTACCTGTAGAGCTCGATGCCTTAGTACCTGCGCGTATCCCCTCGTGAATCCAAGCTGGTCTCCGTTTCCGGCATAGCAGCAGACACTTCCAGATGGCCTCATGTAGTAGCAGAAGTACGCTGCCGGAGGAGGTGCAGGCGGTGCCGGTGCACAAGGAAGTTGTGCCCGCTGCGACACCCGCCACAGGCCTTCCACCCAGAGTGACATGTTACTTTGAGCACGGGTCGGTGTGCCGAAGTGGCGTATGAGTATGATGGATGGCTACTCCGTCGCCTCCAGAATTCCATAACTGTCCACTGGAAAGGCGCTGAGACGGCTGGCGCAGCGTTTCCCTTTCCCCGTGGACCATCCAGGCAGCCAGACGAACAGTTTCTGCATTTCTGCCTTCGAAGCCTTGGGCAGACTGCCTGGCAATAGCAGACTTCGCGAGTCTGAGTGGATGCAGACCAGAAGCGTAAGAGATAAACGGCGTAGTGTCACTTGCACCTTGTTGCTCGCGTGCGCAACATATCCTAGCCAATGCCATCTCGAGAAGCCCAATACTTCTTCGCGGCCCTCAGTGCCAACATGAGCAGTCCAAATTTCCTTCATGCTTGAGTAGGTCAAACGGAAAGTCTCGTTGCTGGGTTTCAATTTCCCTCTAGGTTCATCCTCTCAGATTATCGTGAGCAACCTGTAGAGTCCAAACAGCGCAAGCATGCGCAAGCCATGCCAGCCACGAATCTTTTGCGCAGCCGTTGAAGTTTTGTCGGTAAGTACTTGTGCGTTCAATGGGGAGCTGCCGTAAACAGATTGCAACTTGAAGCGACGAGGCCGCGCCGCCGCCGCTGCGGTGAGGCTTGGACTGCCGAAGAGGCGCCAAAGCAGAGGAAAGCCAAGGCTCGGAGGGGATCTGGCTCCCTGTTCGGGACATCCCAAGTGACTGCGTCGTTTTTGCCGGTTCAGTCCAGTTCGGTCCAGCTGCCGATTCCCAGGCTAGAAATTGACGCCCAGTGCACTGCAGGTTCATGGTCACTGCAGGGTCACTGCTGTGTTGTGCGTTAAGCTCACAGCCTCCGGTTGCTCCTCCTCAGAGAATACTTGGGCTTGAGTTTAGGCTGGTCGTGGAATTTCCTTCACATCGCACAAGTTTCACTATGCTGAAGCTTGAGGCTGTTGCCAGCCGATCCGAAGAATTCCGGGCTTGGGTGGAGGCGTAGGCATATGCGTCGTGCGCGGTATTTACGTCTGAAATTGTCAGCACATTGGCATGCATACTTGCAGGAACCAATGACGCGCTGCTAAGCTCGGCTTGGCTGAGAACATGACACTATCAATGGTCTTTTCCGCCATGCCAGCCCACAAACACAGCGAATGTCGCTGGCGAGTTCTGTCCCAGCTCGGTTTGGGTCAGTCTGGTGAAACAGGGCATGGGCACTCTTCAAACAGAAAGGGATGCAGAAGCAAAGTACGGCCCCTTGGCCTGATGGATGCTGTCGTGACTCATGACATGACCTACCCCTCCAATGCTGGAGTCGAGAGTGTCTGACCGAGTCAGCTGCTCGATGTGGCGTGTGCACGATGGCCCAGAGGTGTCTCACCACATGCAGGCTCGCAGCCTTACAGCTGTTCTCGAAGTCGACGAAGACGAGGGCGCAGAGGAAGAGGAGCAGATTGAGGAAGAACAAATCCTGGAAGTGGAAGGACAGGGTGGGATATCGGAAGCTATCGGATGTAGGGTTTCAGGTGCTTGAAAAGCTGAGACCGATGTAAAACAAAGGAATCATTTAACAGTAACGCCTGTCAGGCGCAAAGGTTCTGAATCCTGATAGTCCCGGTCCGGATGAAAAGCTCCTGTCGTTTGCACGCACCGTCCAATCGGTTCATCTTGTGTTTCATTTCCCGTACTCGAGCCTCAGCCTAAGTGTGTGTAACAGCTCCTGTTCTTTGTTACCAAACAGGTGTGCTTGGCGTGATGAATTAGCGTTATTTGGCATTTGTTTGGGCAGGCCAGGACCAGAGCGGAGCGCAGGCAGTCAGCGATGCAGAGCAAAACTCGAATGCCCAGTTATGTTTGGCCGCGAGTGCCACATCTGATTCTGGGATGGCATTTTACGACTTTACGATTCCCTTCGGGGAGTGGGTCAAGGCATGCTGACATGAGATGATTGCGTGCTGCGCAGACCAAAGGCAGATGGTCCGCAGCAACCCGAGTGCAAGCTGGAAGAGGTGGGTGGTACAGATGCGGCGTGGCCCCCAGATTGACGGTTTTTCCGAAACGCGTGTCATGTCCCGCCTCCGGCCGAGGCGCTCCCTTGCCAGGAGGGGCTGATGCCGCCTGCCCAGGCGATTGCAGCGCGTGGCACTGTTCACGAAGTTCCGTCGTGTGTTCCTATGTAAGACCTTTGGAGATCATGTCGTTTCGCCAGTTAGACTTAATTAGAGGATGTTGCGACCTCTGACGGTGTTGAAGTTGTAGGCACGCCATCTGGCAAGCGACAGTGGGCAGATGGTCCTCAGCCAAGAGCGGCTCAAGCAGACAATTCGGCAATACTCAGCATGACAGGTGAGGAGCGTAATTACTGCTTATACAGAAACTCGGATGGAAAGCGTAAAGGTGCCAGGCTGTATGTAGGGACAGTGCGACATGCAAGCTTTCGTCCGCCCAAACATGTAGCAGTGCTGCGACACATGACGCAGAAGATCTGCGTATGCTGCCATGGTGGTCCAAACTGCTGTACATCTTCTTTTCCATGGCAGTGTCAGCATACAGCGAGCTTAGTTTCACCAACTACACGATCAGTGGCTGCATGTGCAAGGAAGTCTGGTCGTACAACAACACGCCCTGCCTGAGTCACTGCTGCAACCCAGATGGTGATCTTGGAGGCGAGTGGTGCTTCGTCATCAATGCAACAGAATGTCAAGGAAGCACATGGGATTACTGTGCGCACATGACGACGTCTTCTTCCTCCTCGTCGTCCACGATATCAACTTCGCCCACATCTACGCAGACACGGTCAACAGTAACATCAACCATCACGTCTTCAACGCCATCGACAACCCTCACTCGAACAACGGTGACACGAACACGAACAACAACGGTGACACGAACGCGAACAACAACGATGACACGAACGCGAACAACAACCACAACTATCTCCAGCAGCTTCTCGTCTTCGACAACATCGACAACCTTCACAGTCACAGGCAGCCAAACAACAAGCCCAACTTCAACTACTTCCAGTTCGAGTAGCATATCGCGAAGCACTTCCACATCCACGAGCACTGAATCCTCAACGTCATTTTCCACTAGTGCAACAACCAGCTCCACTACGAGCTCAGGAGTGGTTGCCACGCAAGCCCTCGGGCGAGACGGATCCGAAAGCACAGATGCAGAGGTTGTTGTAGCTGTAGCTGGCGTAGCTGGCGCTTCAGTTTGTTGCTGTGTCTGCTGTCGGTGTTGCTTTCGGTACACCAGAAAGCAAACTGTGAGGGTTGGCAATGCATCGGCCGAGATGGGATTCTCGCAGCTCGTCCCTGACGGGGATTCCGACCAGAACGAAGATTTGAGGAACTTGCTTCGAAGCCTCGAGCAGGCTTGCTCACAGAAGGACAAAGAGGCAGTTTTAAGGGCTTGTCGCAATATCTCGAAGGAGTCTGAGGCAGCTCAGAGCTGGTCCGAGTGGCTCGAAGCTTTGATCGAGCGCGAGTTTGACTCTGGTGAAGGCCCGGACTATGGCACGGCTGCCTTCCGAAGGCTGAGGCCGAAGATAGTTGCTGAGTGGCGAAGTCGGCAAAGCTCTCCGCCGACGAACTGATGGGCTCAGCTCCATGTTTTGTCCCCTTAGGGGCCGGCAAGTGAGACAAGAACGACATCAGCGTTTCACTAGACAGGGTAGCGTTTTTCTCGAGAGGCAAAGACGCAGACAATCAGTTGCTTGCAAAATGCACGGATCGCAAGGCCAGATCATACGCTCCAGCAGCGCACGCAGACCAGCCTGCAGGAACGCCGCTGTGGCAACGAGGAGAAGCCACCGAGTGCCCAGAGGCCTGGTGTAATTTCAGGCACTCGTTTCCTGCGCGAGCCATGCTCGGACGAGGCTGGTGCCGATTCAATCGCTGAGAGGAAGGACGCTGGAAATCCTTCGAGCTGCAGGCCTTCGCTTTGCCGGACAGCGCAAGTAGACACGTCGAGCCGCTCTGATAGGTATGGGAACGGTGGGTCTTCCTGAGCCTCTTGGCAGACAGAGCTTCGGCCGAGAAACGCGGCTTTTGTCTCGTCGCTGCCAGGCTGCGCCGAGCCGTGCTCGTCTCCCTGGCAGGCCACTTCGTGGCGGGACTCCTGCTTCTGCTCGCAGGAGCCTCCCGCTTATTTCCGCTTCTCCGTTCGCAGCTTTCGCAGCTCCTTGTAGCAGCACTAGCAAGGACACATGGTCCTTGTGGCTCTCTCGCTGCTGCTGCTTCATCGCACTTCGCTACGTTTTGCCTGCTTCGGGCATCATCAAACTCGTGTGTGCGTCTGAAGCAAAGGTTCATCAAGCTGTGCTTCCTGACTGTCCGGCTGAGTGCCTCCCCAACTGCTTCAGTGCCTTGGTTTGAAACAATGTCTTCGTTGCTGGTCATTCTGTGGTGGTCGTGCTTTTGACTTGTACCTGCGTGGCCTTTCCGCGCATTTCCTCTGCACGTCGGTGTTCACATGTGTGCGTGGTACTTGTTGTAAGCATTTCCAACTACGCTTTTGATCTAGTGCAACCGTGCGCCTGCGGTTGCTTGTGATGAGTTGAGCTCGCCATGTGGGTTTCCCGAGGCCACAAAGATAGCACAGTGTCCTTCACCGGAGATATCAGTAACACCGGCTGCATCACCGGGATCCTCATCACCGCCTGCTAACGTTCCGGAATCGTATGTGTCTTGGAAAGCAGCCAAGTCGTCGGAATAGAGGAAGCCACCAGAGCATGCGCACATCGCAGGCAGCCTCTTGGGGCTTCTTTCCACCAGACCGCGGCCTTTTACGTGCTTCTTGGCTCCAAAGCTCACGAAGTCAGCCTTCCGTCCACATGCCACCTGGTAGCTACAGAGACTGCCACCTACTGCCACGGCAGGCAAACGAAAGCCAAAGGAAGGCCACATGTTGTTTGTCCCCAGGAACATGGAAACCAGCCTGGTCGCCTGGGTGTCGGTGTCATGCCGGCAGTGGCTGAGGACTGTTGTACTATTGCTTCTCGCATTAGATCAGATATGTCTCGCTTGTTCTACCGAGCATCCCGAACTGGGCGCGGTTCACTATTCGGGGGTGGAAGTCGGAATTATTGACTGGCAGGAGGACGTGGCTGCAGATCCGATGATGGCACTGAGCACTCCGTCCATGAGTTCCTGGCCCGAGGAGTCAGGCAGGTTAGTTGAGCTAGGTTGAGCTGGTGATTTTTCAGCAAACCCATGGCATGATAGCATTGTTACGTCACAGATGGAGCAGGTCAGCAGACAGAGGCAGCTTCTGGGATTTGTCTACCGCCGGTTTTGCAGGATCGGTTGACCGCTCGCCCAAACCAGCTGCCGAAGGTCTTCTGACAGCATCAGGACATGTTAGGGCACAGAAGGTTGTGAATCGTAGCGGCGCGTCTAATGGTCTCCACCTGGGATATTGCGCCGGAGGTAAAACCTCGCTTATTTCATCCAATTTCGCATGATTCCAATTAGGCATGGCGCGTGGGCCGGCAGGACGGGAGCTCTTTCTTTGTATTGAGTCTCTTGCTTGATGTGGCATGTTCAAAGGACTGTGAAATTAGACTTGGTCATCGTGTTCCTCTCGCCTTTCTGCTGATAGATAGTTTTCCTAGCTCAGTATTCCTAGTTAGCCCGTCTTTGGTCCATGTTTCCGGAAAGCCACAGTCGCTGTTGCACGAGTGCCCGTAAGTACCCCTTTGTTGTCAGCCAGTGGTAAACTCTCAGAACTTGCTCCGGAGACTGCGAAGATCGTTGGGTTCGCGAGGGCAAAACTTGCTCTGCCCGCTGTGTTTGAGAGGATCGGATCACAGCTCCAAGTTGCTCATGACCGGTAGAGCCTGGGCGGCAAGTCTTGGGTGCTGGTGATGCTGCGGCAGAGATGTGAGCTCCGCTATTGCTATGGCAGTTCAGGGCCGGGAGATTCTGCATTTTTCCGCCCAGCTGGCCGCAGAGGGGGTCGCCCAGGCAAGCGTGTGTTGCTTGGGTGGCCCCGCAGAAGCCTGTTCCCTGGAATCTTGGTGGTTCTCATGTTTTGACTTGGCCTTGTCCGTTGTCGCCGGCGACCTTCCAGGCGCGGACATAGAGTCCTTCCAGTCTGTGCCTTTGCCAGCCGCCTTCCCAGCGGCAGAGCCGCTCAGTTTAACATGGCTACGCGAAGCTACCGCAGCAGAAGGGCAGAACAAAGGCTCCGAGCAAAGCAATGGCATCGAGGCAAAGGCTCCACTCATCCGGCATCCCAAACCAAACCTGCCACGGACGCACGATCTGAAATTCTCCTGACTTCTGTATGGAAAGTGATGACGCGACCTGAAAACTGGAGTCTGCTGATGATTGCCTTGTACTGTATCGTCTAGAATCTAGCACACAAGACCTCAAGACGCTCTCCTCGTCGCCTTCGTAGTCGTGGTTGTTGTTATCGTAGTAAGTCGTGTTCGTCGTTGTCATCGTAGTAGTAGCAGTAGCAGAAGCAGTAGCAGCAGGAGCAGTAGTAGCAGTAGTAGTAGTAGTCGTCGTCGTCGTCGTAGTCGTAGTCGTAGTCGTGGTGGTAGTGGTAGTGGTAGTGGGTAGTGGGTAGTGGGGAGTGGGGATTGGGGAGTAGTGGTAGTGGTAGGGGTAGGGGTAGTGGTAGTGGTAGTGGTAGTGGTGGTAGTAGTTGTTGTTGTCGTCGTCGTCGTAGTAATAGCAGTCAGTGGTCACAGCTGACAGTGCATCATACCTTTTACTTCAGTTTCTGCAGCTGCAAACGAAACATGCCAGAGAACAACCAATCAATAACACTGTGCTTTTGCTGCCTTGTTGTGTCCACAGTTGCTGACATAGAACCAGATTGGACCTGGAAACTGTTTGTCGGCAAGGTGCGAAGAGAAGGTGCCCCAGACGAATGGTAACCAGACGCATGTACAGGACTGCCTTCCGAACCCTGCAGACATCCGCCGTATGGTTCCTGCCACTGCCGGCCCGTTCTGAAGGAGCTTGAGGCAGGTGCAGCAGAAGGCCTGGGCGGACTCAGTCTTTCCGGTTCGGGAGGCTTCGGAACTAGCAGTTCCATCACGCAACTACCAGCTTGAGACTTGCGCCGGAGGCCCAATGGCACCAGGCTTGCCGCAGGCAGCAGGCTGGGGTCCGCGGGATTTGCGTTGAGCCAGCGCCTGTGGGCTATGCCGTTCCACATTCTTTCTTGTTTTTGACATCGAACCAGGCAGCCAGGCCTCTGCATCGAGTTCAGGGCGCATCTCGATGGAGTCCCTTGCCTGAATAAATGACACAGCTGAAACTGCAAACATGTCGCATGTACCAGGCTGCTGTGCTTATGTTGCAGAGCGATTCCGAGATGTCTGCAATTCCAGGGCACAGGTTAATGAAAGGTCAATGCCGTGACAGTACGCGCAAGAGAAGCGCAGAGTTCCCAGCCAGCTTCCAGGCATTTCCCTTCTCCGAGAGCATCCAGTCACTTGTCCATTCCGGCTTTTCCAGACCCCGGCAGCTTGGTTGCAATAATGTAGTTAGTCGAATAATTCTAGACTTTGGCAGTCCATCAAGCTAGGTCTCAGTGCTGTCGCTTGCATCTAGAGGCTCGATATAATTTCCTGGACTCCAAGGCATTTCGGAAGATAGCTCGTCGACCGCAGGCCCCGTGCATTAGAACTGCCAGCGTGGGAAGCTGCGAATTCGTCGATAGCCTGCCCAAGATGGGAGTCGAAGTTCTGTGGTGCCGATCTGGAAGGCTCTTGCACAGATGGCAAACAAAGTGCTCGAGCTCGAGCGATCGCATCTTGGAGCTTCAAACTGGCATCCGAAGATATTGATGATACTGTCAGAGACGACCATGTCTTTGGGCTTGCAGATTGGCACCGAGATGAAGACTTTTCGCGATAAGGATGTTGCACGATTTTGCACGTTATGACGGTGGACATGTGGGCAGAGTAGGCGAAGCAACAGGGTCCGCATGTTCATGATGCCCGACCAAGGCACAGTCTGCCTGTCGCTGGCAGCTCGGCATGACGCAGTGGCGGCAGCAAGTTTAGCAGCCTGCAAGGACCAATACGCAACGGTTTCCACCTGGTGGGATCGCAGCACACATCGCAACAACTGTGTGACCATGCGGGAGAGTTATCACATCCAAGCAAACTGAGGCTGCGCCAGGGTTGCCGGGATACTCTCATTGGCATGTCTACCATCGTTGTGTCCCGGCAGTACAGCTTGAGGTAGGTGCTAGCCGAAGTCGGAGGACCCATACCTGGAGGGCGATAGCTGGTTGTAGCATGACATGGCTTCTGTGTTTGGCACGAGTCGGTGCAGTTCTCGGCATCTTTGTCATTGTCCAATGCTGCATCGCGTCTGAGGCACTTGTATCCTTCACCCTGGGCCAAGCCATAGTCATACTGTTCGTCTTCATTTTCGATGCTTGGACAAGCAAGACATGCGGGAAGATTCTCGAAGCGATCTTTCAGAGTGCCATGTTGCTTTTTCTTCGTAGAAAGCCTAGGATTTGGTCTTCATCGAGTGGCTTCGCCCGCAAACCTTTGCTGTGCCAGATGGCTACCCGTAAGGCGCATTAAGGTGCATACGCAGGCGGATCCGCAGACGAGCGCAAAGGCAGATGTAACAGCAGAGGTTGACATTTGGTTGGTAGAGATGAACAGTTCTGGTTGTTCAGAGTGCCTTACTTAGGGTCTTGGGGCGAGGGTGAACTAGAATAACTAGACGTACCGCTTGCGAGGCAGCAGTTGCAGGCGATTTCCCGAGCTTCCAACAAGGGACTGAATGCACGCAAGAAGGGTCGCATGTCCTATAAGTTTCAGCCCAAGGAAGTATGCCACTTCAAGCCTGTCTCGGCATTTTATGCTGGCTGCTGACCCTCTCCTAAATTGGCTGATGGAAACTCTGAGTTTTCAGGCAGAGCTTGCAGCATGCTTTGCATTGCATGCTTTGCATTGCATGCTTCACCTGGCAGCCAAGGAGAACGCTACGTGCTTGAGTAGCAGGCGACTGACAGCTCTCACGGGCGACATGCTCCCTTCCGAGTGTGCCCGTGAGGTGGTCAGGCCTGCCAATCACATTCTTCCAACCACTCCTTCTATGCTTTTATTGCAACTCCCGTACGTCCCACTTTGCGCCTTCCATGGTATATGCCCTATGTCATAGTATGCCACTATGTCTCGGCTCCTGCCCATGCTCACGTGGAAGATAGAGAGAGGGTGATGGTCATGCCTGGCTTTGTCTAACCTATACGGCGGGGTGCGACACAGGTCCACGTCGCTGGCAGCTTTCAGCATGGGGCCTCCGAACTCGGTGGGGCTTCGCGCGTGCTATCCTCAGGCTGGACTTGAGCATCTCAGTTCTCGGTCTATTTGCTGCTGCGCCAATTTCAAGCATTGGGCAGAGACCATGACAAGCAAGAGAGATCATAGCAACAAAAACTGAATTCCGAAGCAGTCAAGTGACAGCATTGCAAGTAATTCAAGCATGGCTGGTCGGAGCCTGCACAGGATGGACTGGAGGAGCTGTCCTATGCAGCAACTTTGCAGCTGATGTTATTGGCTTTTCACCTCTCCGTTTAGACCCCCCACCCCCTTCCAAATCTAAGACCGGCCAACGGCCGCTTGTTCACGGAGGTGCACTAAAAGGGTATTCGTCTCGCAGTGTCCTGACACTACGGACACGCTGAGAGGTTTCAAGTGCCCAGGACGTGTTCTATGGCACGGATGATGCCATATGCGAGTGGATGGAGAATCCTAGCTTCGATTTCTTCGTCATTGAGAAGCAGCAGCCCTGTCTCTTGGAAAGCACCCTTGAGCCCCGACCCGAAGCCTTAACTGACTCGGCGAGAGGAGCGTGCGGAAGGACGGGGCAGCCAATCCGAGGGCACTTCCTAGGGCCGAGCCCCAAGAAGAACGTCTCTGCGAGGCAGCATTTTGGGCCGTGGCACGTCGCTCATCATCAGCAATGCCACGGCTTTCTCTCACCGTGTCTCAGACGATCTGCAAAGGGCCTCATGCCAGCAAGGTGTAAGTTCAAGCCTGAAGAGCATGTGCACTCTTTGCATCAGCAGCCCTTGCCGACGCGAATTTGGCAGCGCAGTCTTTGACTGGAGACCTGTGATTAAAACTGTCGAGCCGCATGCGTCATAGCTGGTCATTCAAGGGGCGGGCAACGACTAAGATGGCAAAAGATGCCTGTCATACATCGTCAAAGTAGTGTCGTCGGAGCTCTGTGCACCACCGTAAGCTGCATGCACTCAGCAAGACAAAGCATGTGCCTACAGTTTGAAAAAAGGCTTTGTTTTCGTCACGCATTTGTCAATGGCTGCTCGAGGCTCTGTCGTCCTACTGCAGTCCTTGCGGTGCCGTGGCACGACTTGGGGCTTCGGTCAGTCTGAGCAGGGCCCCGACATGCTGAGGCCCTAGAGTCCCTAGAGGCTGCCCCTGCTGGAAGATTCCTAGGTCAAAAAGGGCTCTGTCTTTTGGTTTTGAGTGCCGCGTGGAGCTGGAACGAGGCGATCTAGTGCTTGGTATCGTGGAGGTGACAAGGAAGATGCTCATGGTGGACGTTCTGGTTGACGCCTCAGTTTGGCGTGTCTGCACTGACGGGGCCGTTACATGCAGCCACCCGAAGAACTTGATTGGCCCCAACCGGCTGCATCCAAGTCCAAGTGACTGCTTGACAAATTTCTCCGGGTTGGCTTGGCAGCAAAGTCCGTGCAGTTGAGCCCGTCACAATATTCGATTCTAGCGGTGCAGACCCGTTGATTCTTGCTCAACTTTGAGGTGCATCGGTCCCTAGCTTCAGCTTCGCCTGGTTTGCGCCGCATCGCTGCTGCCTCCATGGCCACTGAGACTGAAGCCTAATGATGCTAACTGCCGGATAATGCCGAAGAACAGGCAAGTTGCGGTGTCGTCGGTCACACTGTGAAGCATTCTTGTACGAGGCATTGGGATCTGCCTTTGCCGTGCTGCTCCTGACTTTGCTCGCAGCTTGGCTCATCAACAACCGATGTTTCATGCTGCAACACTTACTCCTACTGCAATTCATTTTATGAGAGTTTAATTGGATAATAAACGGCTCCCCGGCTCGAAGCGAAGAGGAAAGAGGTCACCTGAGACAGCCAGAGCCTAATCTCGTGGACTGGTCTGTGCAGCTTGCCTAGGACATAGCGCATGTGAAGCTTGCATCACTGCCCGAAATAAGGATGCCTTCTCTTTCATGTCACTGGCCCTAGAGATGCTGAGACTGCGCAGCATCGGACACTTTGCCTGAAGATTGGAGGGCAGGGAGTGATTGTTTTTGCGCTGTACGGGAGCAGCCGTTGGAAGAAAGCGCTGGTACCGACAGCGAAGGATCGAATTAGAGCGACGCATTCCTCAAGAAGTGCTAAGCCCCGAAACTTGTAATTGTACTTAACAAAAGCATCCGTCACAAGCCGAATCGATCCCCAGACCCCAGACTACTCTTCTGATTCTCTTGCTCAGGGTTTGTTGGGTCGCCACTCCATTTCGCACTCGTGGTTACCATTGGCCAGGCTCCATGGATGTTGCCACGTTTAGGAGGTCTTAGGCTTGTTGCGGTGAGCAGCTTGGCAGCGGACGTTTAGAAGGCCGAAGTGCCTAGGCTCCATGCGAACTTCAGGGTAGGTTCACAAAACAGCCTTGGGTGGACCGGTGCACCAAGGAGGTTGCGAATGTTGTGAGCGTCGCGAAGGGACTGTAGACATGCTTGGTAGTTCAGCTGATCTGTTGGGGAAACCATACATGAAAAGTAACTAAGACTCTCAGACACCAGAGCATCGGTGCCGGCCAATGTGGTAGAGCATTGTTTTGGCACGGAAATTGCGGCGACACTGATTATGTAGTCACCAGCAATCATGAGACGGTGCTTCTGTGCCAGTCGTATACATCAACAACGAGTCCAGCCTCAAAGCAATGATCGTCATGCGAGCTTTCCTCCCTGCGAGGCCGTTGAGCAGGTGGGCCTTCTGGTGGTGCATTCCCTGATCATGGCCGGCATGTCCTTTCAGCTGGAGCTCGCCAACGAACTTCGACTTTGAAAGCAAGACCTGGGCGACACGGTGTGTAGAAATCGTCGACGAGTATATAGTCTTGAGCAGGGCTCTTCGTCTGCGTCGGAGCATGTCAGTAAACGGATTTTCATGTCTCGTGGTGCCCGTCAGCTGAGGATTTTTGGCCAGAGCTGCACTGCACCCGCAGTACAATATCTTCTGAGACCCTCGGCACATGATATGCATTTTCGATTGGTGATCCTGAAACTTGCAATCAAACCTTGGACCTGCAACCCTCGACGGCAGTGACCTTCAGAAGCACAATGGCTTTCATGCCATTGAAACTTTGATCAAAGGAGCGTCCCTAATGCCTGGCATCAAGCGGCTCGCTGGACGGGAACTGCTTTGGTCTTCTTCGACCCTAGGGCCTGCATTTGGATTCCCCTTTCTATGCAGATACTTGTGCCAGAATGATTCATGTTATGGACATGAGTGACATAGGGTGGAACCTTCATGAATCGCACGTGTTTTTGAGTCTATCATCTCATGGCAGGAAACCCACGGGCATTTTGCGCACTTCCGTTTTTCATAACCGTCAAAACCCTCATATTCTGGAGGGGCTGGGCCAAGAAGAAGAACGTTCACTTGAATGCCTTCAGGAATGAACTAAAACGGAACTCTCGTCACCACAGCTTTGGCAGTGATGATCCCAACACAGAAAACCAGGCCATGGATGCCTTTGAGCCGTTTTGCGATATTTCGTTGTAGGATGCAAGCGGCATGAACACCATCTGTCTGAACGAGCCTGAAGCACTGTCAAGCACCAATCTCGTCCTCTCTCTCTTTTTCTGTCTCTCTCTCTCTCTATCTCTCTCTGTCTTATGTCTGTGTCTCTCTCACTCTCTCGCTCGTTCTATCTCTCTCTCTCTCTCTCTCTCTCTCTCTCTTTCTCACTCTCTCTCTCTCTCTCTCTCTGTCTGTGTGTGCGTGTGCGCGGGCGTGGGTTTGTGCGGATGCTGGGAGGCTGCCGGCATTTCAGTCTTCTTCGCTCTGTGCATCCTGGGTGGCTATGTTTACCGATTTCATGGCCTGGTGCCCGCCGGCCTCCTGTCCGAAGAAGCCGGCTCGACACATTCATGGACTGCCTGGTACATGATGGGTTTCCGAATCACGTGCCAGCCTAGGCTGGCTTGCGTCCCTCCTGTACAGTCGTGACGTGAAGATGACTCGGTTTGCAGCAGCTCCGCTTTCGATGTCCGACTACAGGCCGGGAGAAGCAGACGGCAGCATAATTCCTAGCCTGGAAGTCTGCAAGGCATGAAACCCTTGCTGTGGATCCAGCGGAAGCTGAAACAATACCGCCGCGACCTGAGCTGCAAACATAGAGCAACATAAGATGTCGGGAAGCTCGGCCGGAGAGTCGTGTTCCAGTACGACTCGCCTTTCCCGCAATCTGTCGGATTTGGAGGCTGAGGGACCGAAGCACCCTGCATCTGTAGTGGGATTTGGAAGCCGACGCTGCGCGCCGAGGACCTCCCTCCTCCGACCTGGCCTTGGTGTCCTTGCATCTCTGGGTTGCTCGCACCGTAACTATGCTGGGAGGATCGGGGAGGCATGTTCTCGGCTTCAAACGGCAATAGTTGAAGTTGAAATAGGGGGGAAACACCAATACTGCTTCGTTGTTACGCTAATCAGCTCCCCTGAGATCACACATGCACGCCTGGAGACGTTTAGGGTAGATGAATGGTAGACTCTCCCTTCCATTGTTGATGACAGTCGGCTTGCTGGCGTCGGGGGCACTTGCAGACACGTGCAGTATAGCAGCTATCTTGATAGTAAACAAACCATGAAGCGCATGGAATAACTGACCCGCCAGATCATCACAGGCTTCTGGCACCAGAAGATGAGCTACGTCTTCCAGGCGGCATTGGTGTGCATCGAGATACTGCCATGCTTTCCAGAAGCCCTGACAGAGCGTAGTATAGTTTGGGTTTGCTCCTTCAAGTTCCTGAGGTGGGCCGGAGGTTGGAGTGGTACTTGCCGGCTCTTCCGGACACAGATCCGAAGACCACCGCGTTCACCTCCGACTGTGTGAGCTGGACTGCTGTTCGGGGCGCGGTAGTTCTGAGCTCTTGAACGGATTGATAGGTAGCATGCACCACAGATAGAATGCGGTCTCTTGTCTTGAGGTGTGGCTCATCCACTTTTTACAAGCATGGTGTTGAGTGTCCTAGATTTCTCAAACATACTTAAGGGTTGACCATCTGCGGCGGCTGTGTTGAAGTCGACATAAGGTCAGGGCAGAGACGAACACCGGCCACGAAGACGGTTCTCGTTTGTACAACTTGCAGGGAGTTGAGTGCAGGAACACAGTGGCAACAACACCTTTCCGTACGTCGAGTCCCACTTCTTAGGTGAAAAGCCCTAGATGCTGCAGAAATCTGGAGAACCGCGAAGGATGGCCGTTGTCCGGGCCACTGTGCACAACCTCTCCGTTGCTTGGCTTCTGCTGCCTTTCGGAGCGCTGCCGGCGCGAGCCTGCATGTACTTGAACGAGCGCAGCCATGGCCGCAGCTTGATTCCTTTTGCTTTGTGCTACAAAGCAGCAACACGCGGCAGGAACAGTACGAGCACTATTCAGGGGAGAAGTCCGGGCTGAGTGGGTGATGCATTCTTTGGTACTCGCTGTTCATCGGAGACTCTGAGGTTAACCTGGTAAACCCTTAAAAAGCTAGTCAATAAACGGAATGCTTTGCCTAAGCCCACGAAGTGAATGCGCTCCAACGTACCTCAGCTCTTCCCTCAACTCGAAACATTCTTCGCGGCCTTTTGCAAAAACGGCGAACAGGTGTGGCTACATGCCCCTTTGGACACTCAACAAACATACAAGATTGGAGAAGCCAACGACTCCGCAGCTCGCCGGGAAACGGATCATTGAGCGGCTTGCAACTCAGGCATTCTTTTCGCAACCGGGACCGATGGTGGCGTGTTTGCAAGGATGTTAGCAGCGGTTAGCGTCTATGGAGGCTCGTGGTTGGCAAGTCACACTCATGATGATCTCCAGGCGGTAACTCTGCCGACGAAGCAGATGCCCTCATGCAACATGCTTTGGAGGACTGCGCGGTGCGTGACAGGCAATGTTGCAGTTTGCGGTGTCCTTACTGATCGAGATGGGAGGACGCTGGCATCTTCTGGCAGACCTCGGGATGGTTGGCGGCCATGGGCCATTTTGTCGCTCAGCCTCTCCCGTACGGGTTGCAAGCTGAGTGTCAAACAGACATTAGCTATACTAGCCCCCACAATCCCACACCAATGGCAGTGCTTCCATGTCTTACCTTGTTTGAATGGTGCAAGTGCCTCCAGGTGACGCTGCTGCTGCTGCTAGCGGTGGACTTCCTGATCTTGCCACACGATCCACGCGAGCAGCTCATCGCAGGGCTCCTTGCCACAGGCGTCAGGGGTCATTCATCTTCCTCGTCTTTCTAAATGCTGTGTTGTCCGACTGGCGTCATATATGTTTCTGAATTCCTCAGTCTGTGCACGCGGTGAACTCGTGACTTTCGCCACTTTTGCCCCTGTGTCGACGTGTTCTGACCGAAGTTCAGAAGGGGTCGACACCATGTTCGGCGTTCCTGTCCAGTTTGGGTTTTGGCCATGTGTGACCGGTTCTGACGGCTGTCAGCAGGAGCCGTACTTGCAGTTCTGCGTGCGACCGTTGCGCAAATCCAGGCTCCTCGGCCGAGTGGGGACGTAATGACAGAGCTTTCACCTGCTATCGCGCAACGGCATGACGTGTGCTGCATCCCTCAGACAGCATGTCACCCGGGTGTCGGGATGCAAGATACCGCCCATCAAGAGATCAACCCTTGCCGGCAGGGCCTGGAATCTTGTCGACACCGCCACGGGCTCGTTTCGGGCTCAACCTCCATCTACCACGCAACGGGCATGCGGGCGCCCGTGACTGCTCATTGGCATTGTAACAGCTTTTGGGCTCAGGTCGCAGCCTGCAGCGAGATCCTGCAGGACTGGGCTCCGTTGTGAAGTAGGATGCCATGATGTCGGAGATTGTCGTGCAGCGCGCTGTCACATCAAACTGCACCTGCAGATCCAACTCCTGCATCACTTAACGAGAGGATGCTTTGCCTTCACGGGTGGTCCAGAGTCACACTCGTGCGCAGCTCAAGACGCATCCCAGGCGCTGGTCCTGTCGCATCCCATTGCCAGTTCGAGTGTCAGTTCTGTCCGTCTGTGTGTGCGTGTGTGTTAAACCTTCCTAGTTCATGGACGCAGAGGGTCACACTACCGCTCTGCATGCATTCAGTACCGTTGTCTGCACACATGTTTGCAGCCGACTCATGGCCTGTGCAGTGACGGAAAGATTTGCATCCAGCCATCAACCAGTGGTTCGCTCCCAACAGATTGTGTCCGCGCCTATCTGATCTGACACGAAACCTTTTTACAGAAGCAAGCGCGAAGATGCGGCGCAGGTCTCGGAGCGAGGAACAAGCAGATGCGTTGGGAATACGACCATGGCATGCAGGCTGGCTGCATGTCGGCCCGACTACTTTCAGAGCACACCGTGCGGCAGGCCTTCCCTTCGCGAAGGTTGCAGCTTCGCGGCACGAGAAGCTAACACCCCTGCCAGTGAGGCATCGTGGGACGTGTATTCTTGTCAATCAGAGACTGGGTTCGGCAATCACCAAAACAGAGAAAGCTATCCAGTTAGGACATTTCTGGGTCGAGCCAAGGGAGCTTTTTGAAGTTGACTGGTGAAGAAGCTGCCAGGGTTTGCAGGCTGTGAGCTTGTGGCTGGTCTACGTGTTCTGCTTCTTCAGTTCTTCACCTCTTGCAGGAACTGCAGATGCGGCGAAATTGCAGTTCCTTCCCAGCTGCTAGTTACATTTTAAGTTAGTTTATGTACGAAACGTCGGTCCCGGCAGCGGAAGGCGTGCAGCCAGTGAACCCACCGATGAGGAGTGTCTGCCGGGAGCTAAGGTCGGGTATGCGTGGGTATGCTAGACTTTGACGTGAGTGATTTTGATGTCTACGAATTTCTCTTAACCTTTCCGAGTACAGCTGGAGACGTGGTGCAGGCTTGTGAAGGCTTCCGGCTGTTGCTTCGAATGTGAGCGGCCCACCATCACCAGTGAACTCCAAGGTCTGCGCTAAGAGGAGACGCCGAGCGTGTTGTTTCAGCCTGTCGCGAGCTCTTGGAACTGGATTGGGTCAGGACCCTCGGAGCGGCTATGTCTCTCTCTGGCTACATCTTGTAGAATCAGCTGCTAACACCGCACCGGCCATGCTATGCAGACTGCAATCAGACTGCCGTCTTGTGCCTTTGACTCGCGGCATGCGATCTGTTTTGCAGGAGTGGGCTGCTGCCTGGACGCCTGCGGGGGAAGTGCTTTGGCAGCCAAAGGATGCGAAAGCGGTCTGGGCGAAAAATCGCTTCCACTGCGTGGTTTTAGTCTCACATCTTCAAAAGCCATAATTAGACGATAGACGCGCAAGTGGAACATGCATGGAACCTCTGAGCGGCGATCAGTGCCGCCAGAATGCACGGTTGGACTGAGTCGGACCACAGTTAGACCGACAGAGTGTTTCTTCCTCTTCTTCTTCCTCTGCTCGTCGTTGCGTCGTTGTCGTTGTGGTGGCCGCCGTTGTGGTTGTGGTGCTGTTAATGGCCATTGCTGCTGCCATTGCTGCTACCAATAAGCCTGCCAAGCCACCAAGCCCAGCGTAAATTGGGACTCCCGCTTCGGCACGTTGGACATTGACATTTTCGACTAGCATCGCGTTCTTTCCACACCCTGTTGTGGCCGCGCCCTCCGGGACTCCCGAAGCCTGCAGGAGGAAAACCGCATGTGGTTTTTGTTTAGGGCGCTTAGCAAGTCCCGCCCCGGACCCCACAGCCCCAGTGAAATGATTGACTCAGAGGGGAAACAAGGAGGTGCCCCCCCCCTAGCTGCCCTAGCTGAAGGTCCCTTGCCCGGCATGTTTGGAATGCTTTTGCAACAGTGACACAACACACCCATCGCATTCACAGCTTCATGTTTTCATTGACAGAAGCCGGCGAAGCCCAGAAGGCCAAGAACAAGCAAGAAGGTAATGTATTGCAAGGAAATGAATCGTAAGCATGCTTCTTGTTTCATTTGGGTGGGCTTTTGCCCTTTGTTCCGTACTCTTCCTTTTTATTCTAAAGCAAAGCACAGGCACACGTTTCACTTTACTACACTTTCCTTTCGCGCTTTTGCATACATGGTGTCTCGGCCCTGCATGATCCACGCTGGTTTCTGGAGCAGTTTCAAGGGCTAGTTATTGGCAGCATGGCTACGGCTACTTTCTTGTGGAGTGACTTTTATTAAACACACGCATCCGCCTAGCTATCGCACATTCTGGGAATTTACATTTCAGCACCGTGAGCCATAGCGAAACTTGTGGCGACTGGCCAGCACCCGCCAACAAGCTTTCTGCCTCCTTTGCTCGTGAACTTCACCAAAAAACTTGCAGCGTTTTGCAAAGACAGTGGGTTGCATCGATAATTACTGTTGAGCACATCACTGACAACATGCCCCTGGCCCACTAGGAGGCAGAAAGCTGGTTGGCATGCGCCGGAAAATGCCCATACACACTGGAATTTTTGACTTGTTCGTTCATGCCAATAGGCCCACCCTCCACCACACTCGCTACGCTTCCTTCCCCAAGCTTTCGGGGCCCTCTGCTCAAGGTGGTTGTAGATTCCCAATGCTTTGGCGCTGCCCAACAATCACGAATCACACTCCCGCCACAGCTCCGTGCATGTGTTTGGGTGGAAACCTGGCTCCACCATACAAGTTGCTCACAGTACCTAAAGTCTTTAAAGGCCTAAAGTCCTAGCAGGACCACATTATTCGCTGTGGTGTCATGTGGTGTCCAAAACCTGCCGTTCTAAGAGGTTGAACTAAGAGTTTCGCGACACTCGACATCGTGCTCACGCGGGTGCATCGACCTTCTGAAGGACCTCTCCGCCACAGCGCCGTGTGCATTTGGGCTGCGACCAGTGTTTCCGCCGTCGAAAACGTGCTCCCAGCGCGGTCCCGCGTGGGTTTTGGGCCACAATGCGGTGCGTGTCTGGGAGTGTGGGGTGGCCTTGCGAGAACTTGGGAGCCTCAACGATTTGCTTATGGAAGACCCGAGAAGGATTTCCGGGGTATCATTTCATGGCTTCGACTGCTAGGTGCTATCTGTTCAGGGTCTACGCTGGCGCGATCGAATATCTTTTCAGCCTCGTTATCCATGCAGTGGTTGTTGTTCTCAGTAGTCTCAGCAGTATACTTCACGCAGTTAGCATGCTCCCTGTGCCGTAGACGTAAACTCTGCGCCGGAGCGGGAAATCGAGGCTTGTCGCTGCAAGGGCGGCCCGAAATCGCCGCATCCGCCTCGCCCAGGTGCGATATGGTGCGATCAGGATTCATGTTTCTTTGTTTTGCACCTGTCTGTCTGGATCTCACCTGTGGATTGACCAACCTTTCGTGGGTTCACAGGGCTTGATTAACACTTCCGGGCACAACATCAGCCGCTTTTCTTCTCCATCTCCAGACAGGAGACTATAAGGTATTCCTTCAATACGGACATTGTGGGAGCGGACGGAGGGGCTGCCGAAGGGCGGGCGCGGAAGGTTCCACTTGAGAAACTTGCAATCGCTGCCGCACGGCCCGCCCGGGCGGTCAAGCGGAGACTGAGACGTCGGGGCACTGCTCTCAGACTTCTTGCCTAGCTGTGCGGGCCGAGCTGCCGTCGCCCCCCACGGCATGACAATTTCTAGATGCAGGAGGTTACCTATAGTATATAGACCTTCCTGACTGATGAAACACATATTGCACCGTTCCTGCCGGCCCCATGCCCCCCCACTCTGCCAACGGTGGTCCGTGTGTCAGTTGTGCCGTCAGGTGGAGGTCACTGCAATTTGGAGGGCATGATGTCGGGCATACGCATGCAAAGACGGGTCTCACCGACTCTCTCACAATGCAGAAGGGGTCGCTTGCGCAAGGGTGTGGCGAAGGGTGCGCGGAAGGACAACATCGGCTGCGGACAGGGATAAAGACCGGAGGGGTGAATGATGATTGCGGCTGGTGCTGTCTGCCAGAGCTGAACTTCAGTCTTGCAAAGATCCAGGCTCTGCTGGCATCTCGTCGGCCAGGCTCGGCAAACTCTGCAAACTGGGGAGTCCATGGGAACTTAGGTCTGTCCTTGGGATCCAGACGGTAGTGCCAGTTCCTGTGCACTTCAAGCCCCTCCTCAAAACAATGGAATTGGGAATCATGCGCTGCTTCTGCCGGACACTCCTCCTAAGGCCAACAAGGCACCTGGCCCCGAAGCCCGGAACGCGCAAGTTTCAGCGAAGGCTTCCTAGCGCGCCTTCGCCGAAGACCTGCAGCCTCTTCAGGGCACCCAAGATGCAGGAAGACACATTGAAACGTTACACTTCGCCGTGGACTGTTTTGCGCGCACTGGGGGTGCGGATCATGTAGGCAACAAATATCATTTCAGGTCAGGTAGTCTAGCAGTCTGGCAGCCCATGTCATCCGTGTACCGTCTCTGCCGTGTCTGCTGTTACCAGAATCACCAGAGGCTTTTCTACGGTGCTTTGCTGATGGCATTGCGGGAAGTCGCAGAGGAGGTGCGCTGCCGAAATAAAAGAAGCACCAAGGCTCATGTTGCGTCTGGAGTAGGAATCCCGGACATGCCCATCTGCCCGCATTTTGAGAGCTAGGTGCTAGGCCCCTAGGCCGTTCGGAGCATGCAGTGAGCAGATTCCTTCATGTTGCTGCATGATGTGCTGTTCTGCTTGCAAAGCGGCGAGTGAGCCAGAATTCGATGGTGCAATGGCTTGGTAGAAGTCTGTAGAAGTCGTTGGGGACTTGATGCCGCGGCCCTTGCAGGACCTGATTGCGCAACGCTGCGCGTCGGAGGCCCGAAACGTGGTGTGCGAGCACCTGCGACAGCATTGTGCCTCGACAAGCAAGCAGGGAGCAAGTCCAAGCAGGTGTCGGTTAAACTCAGGAGTGGGCTACGGCATGAAACCAAGAGACCTACTTGTATGTCCTGTCTCGTCAGATTGGAGACATGTTGTTAGCATGTTTCTGCTGCTGGTATCCGCTGGTTGAGTTGAAGCAGCAGATTCGCACGACCTGGCCCAGGCACTCTCCAAGCCCGGCTCCTTGCATGCACTTGGAATGGTGGATTGGCCGGATGAGACAAGGTCTCGAGGAGGTACTGGCAGGTACTGGTACCTACAACTGCAATTGTGGCACAAGCACATTCGCGACAACTGAGCGGCGGACTTGCGAACCTAAGCAGCGCTGCACGATCCGTTGCCTCACCCAGAGTCAGGAAGCTACAGCTCTGGCTTCACGGCACTGCTCGGAGCCAAGCGGCGCGCTGGGCACAGGCCTTGTCGCTCTCAGGCGGGAGCCCGTGCAAAACCGAGAGCTTGGATAGTTCCGAGCTCGCCTTGCTCCAGGGGCTGTTGGGGACATCCTCGAGGGCCTTGACTCCCGAGAACTCTGCAATCCTTGCGATGGAGAAGTCGCACCTTGCCGGCCTTGCATCGGTTCCCATAGGAGCGACAGCATGTGCTTTCCCAGCACCGATGCGCTGAAACCAGGCTTCAGAATCAGAAGAGCCTGCAGACCCCGGCGCAGATGTGCCGGTTGTGCCTGCCGACCAGCAGGTGGCCTGGTCTGAGTAGCGGAGTTTTACCGGACCCCGTGACAGCTGTTCTCACGACTGAAGTTGTCCAGACAAGACTGCTAAGGTGGTGGCGGTGCAGCCAGCGACCGAAGAGCAGGGGCCTCACCTTGTGCTGGTGTAGAAAGCTTGTAGATGTTCTCGTCGTTTCGGGGTCGTAGTTTGTGCGAGCTTTGGCAGCAAGGAGTTGGCTGCTTGAGTATCTCTGGCTGATGGCTTTAAGACTGGTCTCCAACAGGCTTGTCAGTTCTGGAGCTGTTGGCTGTGACAGCTGTGGGGCATTTGTTCTCCCACGCGGCATCGCATCGACTTATCCACTTCTGCGTCTGCGTACGGCTAATTTCTCGCAGATGGAGAACCCCAAAGCGAGTAGCCGAGCCGAGGAAGACTCAAGATCAAGAGGAGGCTGACGATGTGCTAGTGAGTCAGGGCGAGGACCAGGACCCGTAAATCGGTGAAAGGTTCAGTTGTTGCACCTTGACTGGTCTCGAAGAGTTCCGTGATTTGTCAGATGGTCATAGCAAGGAGTTCAGCGATAGCATGCCTACCGCATGGCACAACATCGCCCCGGTCGATGCTTCAGAACCCTCACTGCTGCAGGGTTGCGGGCAGGAAGTGGGGCCACGACAGCAGCGTCTTCATGTGCCTCTGGCAAAGATCCCCCCGCAAGTCTCCAGGTCTGACCGATGCTCAGGAGCCCTGTTGAATTGTAGACCAGTTTCGGCCCAAAATATTCGTCAATCCTCAACTACAATGTGCATGGAAAGCGGACGGAAGGCGGAATGGCCCGGATTGCCAACATGCCCTTGTGAATCTCAGGGTCCTATGCAGGCGTGTCTCGACTTGCCACCAAGGCATTCCTGCAGTCGCCCGGTCTGCCCGAAGAGATGCTCGGCATCTCACAAGTTAGAGGTACGGAGACGAAGCTTAATTTGGCGAATGGTGGAATGCTTGGTGCCAGGATTCAAGCCGCAAAGTGCAGGAACACACATAGTCACAGTAGAGCTATCTGTGCTTGATGCGGTTACTGTACATCTGCATGATGCCGCGTCACGGAGAGGGCCTAGAAAAGCATGCAGCTCTGTCTCTATGTTCTTATTCCTATATCTAGAATTTGTTTTCGTCTGTTTGTCTGTCTGTTTGTCTGTCTATCAGTGTCTATCTATCTATCCATCTGCCTATCTGTCTATCTCTCTGTCTCTGTCTCTTCCTCTCGCTCTCCGTCTCTGTCTCTGTTTCTCTCTCTCTCTCTCTCTCTTTTGTTCCTTGGCTGTGCTTGCAGCTCCTCAGGAGCGAGGCTGGCGTTGCCAGTGCCACCACAAGTTGCAAGGCTGCAAACCAAGAAAAGTGACTTTTGGTACCATGGTGCCAATTCTCGAGGAGCCTGTACGTCGGTGCTGCAGCTCGGTCGGGCAGTAAACCCGAAGTGAGCTTGAACATGTTTGAAGCGATAGTACAGTAGCGACTTGCACCGTACAGGAGGGCGATGGGCTTAGCCGAGGTGCTACACTACCTTTCGATCCTGCTACCGTGCGGGCACGTGCAACCTTGCAGCCTCAGGCCGGCTTGTCACGAGTCTTTTTCTCTTCACAGCATTCTGTCGCTGCTCTGCGCGAGTCGAGACACCTCCACTATCACCATGTCTGGTGAGGCCTGGGCGAGCCGAGACGCCCCGCAGACGTTGCGAATGCTGTCGCCCGAAGCGAATCGGACATGTGGAAGACGCGTGGGCAGTGCCTGAATGAAGCGGCCAGTTTTGCCTAAAATTCGCAGCTCTCGATTCCACACAATGTGCCTGCGCAAATGCACCTGAAAGTGTCAAGGGCTCGAGATCACGACAACCTGTGACGCATAGTGCATATAGTGCCTGGAGCCCGGAAAGTTTGACGGTGACCTGACTCAGGTTTGCCGTCTCGCAGCAAGGTCTCATCCGAATCAGTGGCCACTGGGCAGCTGGGGGTCGTGAAGTCCTCCCGGAAAAGCAGGCCAGGCTCAGGTTCACCTTAGCGTCTTAGCCAGGGCTATGGCTTGTCACTGCCAGGCTCGGGTCAACATCACTGCAAAGGCTGAGGTCGTGCCTGGGTTCGTCTTGGCCGCATCGTCTCAAGAATGGAAATCAGCAAGCCAGCAAGCCACGAGCAAGCTACAAGCAGACTTGCGCCTGACGGGAAACTCTTCGGTGGTTTCACTTGGTAGGCGCAGGGTTCCGGGCGATGTTAAACTCGGCTGCTCGAGGTGCTCCATTGGCCCAAGTCAGCTCGGCCTTCATCCGCGGATGTTCAGGCCCCCCTTGATGCTGCTCGTGTTCGGCGGCCATGGGTCGTGTGTGCGCGCGATTCATGCCGGTGCTAGGGGCAGCAGCATACCTCCAGTCGATCTGCCATCGGTGCAATCCGCCAGGTGGAGTTCATCTCGCACCAGATTTGGCCCCCCCTTCCACGCAAGCCAGCTGCGGCAGGTGGGCCATAGTGGCCATGCTAGTTGTATCAGTGTATCACCGCACCACGTTCCAAGTCACGGTTCGACAGGTGCGGGCGGACTGCTGACAAAGCGAAGCGATACCAGGCTGCGCACACCGTGCAGGCTCTGGTTCTCATAGAACCTGCGACTCCGTGCTGGAGAACATTATTCAATTCTCCTGTCCTTGCGATCCGTCTATGTGTCATGAGTGCAGGAGGCGTTTGGGAAGCAGCTGGGCGCAGCAAAATGACGAGCTTCTTGGAGGGAAGCGGTTCCCTGTAGAGCATCGTTGCGACGAGTCATAGGAGTCCGAAATTGTACATCATCCCCGAAACTGAGACGTGCTCAACTTCCGGTATCTTCGGGTGTCGTTCTGGCATACTTTACGTGCGGTCTTTACTTTCACAGGGAAGTTTTGGTCGAAAACTCTTGTCTTTCGGATTCTAAGGCTGCGCTGGTGGGAGCGACAAGTGGCAGGTAGAGGCTGTCGCGGTCATGGTAAGTTCAGTATATTGTCCAATGAAAAGCGGACGTGGTGAGGTGATGTGCTTGAGCCTGCCTTGAAGTTTGCTTTCTCCCAGCAATGAGGGAGCTGCGCAGCATCTCATTCCGACCAGGGTGGCTCTTGAGAAGAAGCCCTGCTGCTGTCTCCAACATGCCCAGCGAAGAGGATCGAATGGATTCGCTGTGGCGTATTCTTTGTGGCTCTGACTGGCATTGCCGTTTCTGGTTGCAGGAACCACGTATTATGCAGGCATTTAGAGGTTTCCAGGCTCTGAGAATTCGAGTGGCAGTTGGCTCCTTCAGCTGTAGCATCCTGAAGACATGCCCCACGGAGCTCTTACAGAGTGAGGTGGTGTCGAGTGGAGCGCCTGCCCCGATGGTCAGTCCAGCATTGGCCGGGATGAGGACTGTAGTTTCCATGCCTCGGGCAGGTCTGGTGAAGAGAGTTTGGGATGAGACATTAGCTGTCAAAGTGGCTCTTCGCGGGAGGATAGCGAGGGGGCCGTTGTCCTTCCAACGGAGCTGGGCCAGACCCGCACCTGGCCTGCATAGCCCGGTGCCGTGTGCGACTGCACATGCACAGTGGACTCCATCCCTGATACCCGGCCCAAGACCCACTATTCTAAGGCTGGTTCGCTCCAGTTGCTTTGCCGGCTCTCGATGCCTCGCAGCAGGAAAAGGTACAGCCGAGGCGGGTATGCTTGCTTTGTCACATATGAATCATGTGAAACTCGCGCATGTCGCGTGAGCTGCCAAGTCTCCTGAATGCACGGGTAGATCTTCATCATCGCTACTTGACCTGCCGCGGGCAGGTGCCTTTCAACAGCCAGCGGCAACTCGCCACTGCCAGCTTCAGATTCGCTGTCGCCTTTCCCTCGTGACCCTCGCAGGTTAGTATACACCCAGCTATGAAGAAAAATAAATCGATGACTGGATAGATAGAATCGGGTAGATGCAGGGCGCAGACCGAACGACCGAACTGACGCCCGCACCCGCACGGACACGCTTCTTGTGATGCTCCGCGACGAGGCGACCTCTTCCAGACTGCTGGCCGAAAGCTTGCCTCGACGCAGGTGCTCGTTGCAGGATGTCCTGGCTCCCCTTGGATTTGTGGTAGTTTGAGGTTCGCTAAACTCCGCAATGTCTATGTATACCTCATCATGTGTTGGTGTCAGCGAGTCAACTGCTACAACGACACAACCTGCCTTGGGAGAGAATCGATCTTCTTGCGGCTATCAAGGCACCGTATCACGCCTGCCAGACCTTGGAATTCTTTGCCTGGCCGTCTGGAAATCTGTGGGGCTTTGTTCGTGGTTGTTTGGTTTGTCATTGCTGCCAAGAAGTACTGCGGAGGTTGGAGGATGCGTGGGCCTGCTTGGGCCTGTTGCCCACGTGATGCAGGACCGCATCGACTTCGTTTTGTCCGGAGGCAGTAAGTTGGCGAGATGATCGGTTCATTGAAAATAATCAATAATCAATATTGCTTCTGATTTGACGTTGGATAGGCTCAAGGCACAGGGACTGCATTCCTGGACCCAAGGTCTAGACGACTTGTAGGTCTTCGGTGTTGACGTTGAAAAGTCAAGCTTGGAGTCTGCAGTATTGAAAGGAGCCCGTGGCAATGGACGACGAGGCCCCCGCCTGCATCATAATAGATTTGGCTACATCGTGGTCTGGATTTCAAGACTGCTTCGTCTATTCTGTTGCCTGTTGCTTTTCTGTTTTTGAGAACGGCATGCCTGAGGCTTTAGTCGTGGCATCTGCTGAGAAACAGTTTTGGGTGCTGAGACAATTCAGCAAGGATCAGCAAGGTTCTTTCGTGGAAAGGCAGCCAGCTTGGCGTAAATGAACAGATGCTTCGAGTGCCTCAGGTCCTTTTCGCTGCGAAGCAGGCAGCAGCAGTTGCTGCCTCTGCCGCAGCCCATGCACCAAGAGCGGCGCTGAGGGCGCTGGAGGCGGGTGAACTTCGCATCCGCTGTAAGTGTGCTCATGAGGAGACATTTGCTGAAAGTATCCTTGTCGTTAGTTGGTGGAGGTCTCGCTTCTGGAAGCTATGCATTCAAGCGAGGAATTTGAGGAGGAAAACAACACAAGCGCCAACTCACTTGATTCTTGCAGTGATCGACCATGTGGCGTTCGAAAGGTGACGCTTTAGGAGACGGACAATTTCAATCTGATCTAAATGTGCCCCAAAGAAAACTTAAACAAAAGAGCAGTTGCACGGCCCAGCAACAGCACGACAGTCTTGCTTGGGCGGCAGTGGCACATACAGACATACATATGTACACACATGCAGACAGGCAGGCAGGCAGGCAGGCAGAGACAGACCGATAACAGACAGAGACACGGACACAGACAGCCAGCCAGCCGGCCAGGCAGGCAGGCAGACAGACAGACACCAGTACGTACCACTTATCCGTCCATCCATCCATACAGTCAATCATCCGTACAATACATACATTCATGCATGCACACGTGCATCTGGCAGGTGCCGGGTTGCAACGCATGCATGCACGGTAACCATGTGCCCGCATCTTTCTTTGTGCACTTGCCAACTTTGAAGTGTGCTGTCCTCCTTGTGCTCGCAGAATCTATGATTCCATGTTCTGTCGACTTCCCTTCCTGCAGGTGGCCATGCGCCGAAATCCTCAGCAACTGGGCGCTGCATTCCTGACTTCGCTTTACGCTGGCACAGGAGGTTTGTCGCAGGCAACTTCCAGCTGTGAGGGGAATCTTCCTGTGTCAGGGCGCAGCCTGCAATGTGTGGCTTTGCCAGAGTTGAGAGTGCCTGCAGGTGGAGGTGGTGCGGCGCAGTTGGCTGATGGCTGCCGCGGCGCGGAAGCTCCTCAAGCAGAAGCGTGCTCGTCAGGACACTTGGGGCAGCATAGAAATCCAACGATGTCCCAGCGGGTGCCGAGGGGCACAGTATTGGGCCACCTGAGCCAGACGGGTTCTGCTTTGCAATATGGCGTGGGCAAAACTGTGGCAGGCACAGCAGGAACGCAGCCAGCTACCGAGATGCATTTTAGTACAATCAGGGTTGGAAGGATTGCGGGGTTCGAGGAAGCGTCTGGAGCTGTTACCTGCCTTGTTTCGTGCCTTCAGCAGGTTCGATGCTGGCCTCAGGATGCTCTCGGAGCAGCTGCTTTTCTGGACGGCCAGCCGGGAGCGAAAACGCTGGCTTCGGACCTCAGTGTCTTGGTCAAAACCGAGCTCTAGCTCTGCGTGGTGAGTTAGCGCCCGGGTCAAAGTCTTATGCTGTTGCCAGGAGCGCGAACCTATGGGACTGACATGTCTTGGCAAAAGTCAGGCTCCTTGGCAAGGACCAGGACAGCTGCGCATGCCGAATTCTGACGACGAAGCATCAGTTCTGCCGCAGAAGGTTTTCGGGAACCTGTCCAGACAACGAGACGTGTAGTGAAGTAAGTTACAGTTCGCCTGTCACAGGAATCGAAGACATCAATCCATTCCGACGTCCCAGCATCTAAGGCACCCAACTGGGGCATCTTGGATGTGGGCTCCAGCAGCACCAGCCCGGCCAAGTCTGCGAAGGCCTGGACCCGGGCTGAGTGGAGAGCTCTGACTATCTCCGACTCGAAGTCCAGACCGTCACTCTCTGTCTGCCCTGTGCCCTTGTTTGCCTATCCATCCACACACCCTGGTGCAGCGGTGCAGCCCCCAGGTTTGGTCGTGTCTCTTCCCTGTGATGGATGTTGCAATAACAGCCAGGGGTCGAAACACAGATCACCCATCCCGGTGACTGTTGGCACTGTTTTTGCGATTCCTGTGTCCGGTGGCTTTTCGAGACATCGCTGTGACATCGAGCTCTCAGAACGACAACACTTGCGAGGATTCCCAATCCGCCAAATGAGGCTGATAGCGAAACGTTTGGGGGGGAGAGGGGAGAGCCTTACGCTTGTCTGCCCCGTGTATCGAGATACCAATAAACGAGCCATGCATCCGCAGCCGCGGCAATTTGCCAGCAAGTTTAATAACCGGAGTCCTTTTCAGCGACTCTGCGAGGATGCTTTCATGGCCGAGCCTCAGGACATGGACGCGAGCTTCTCGGTCTAGACCGTGCAGCGACTAGCGACTACGACTCTCTGTCGTGCCTGTTGTTGGAAACCGTAGCAGCGCCGTACTGCTCACGTCTGATGCATGCCTGCAAGGTTGCTGCAGCATGGCCAGGGACGGCAGTGGGGAAAAGTGTGTGGATTCCGACGATATGCTCAGGACTGACGCTTCAAGAATGCAGGACTTGCTCGTGTCATCATCGATCTTCTAGCCGTCAGTTTTGAATTAACATCGAGCTGCAGAGCGAAGTTCCTCGGACATTCATCGCTGTGCGAAGCGTGCGGCCCGTGCGAATCTAATTCGAAGCCATTTGCCTCAGAAGACCGCTGAGAGGAGACGGAGAAAGCGAAGCAGTCAAGGTCAAGTTGGGTGCTTGTGCCGTCTGCTTTGTGCCGTTGCTGAAGCTTGCTTGCAGAGGGGCAGTTGCCGCGTCTACGGCAGGCAGTGCAGACGATCGTGTGACGCCGTTCCAGTGCAACGCTGCCACGCTAGCAATGGTAGCTTAGCTTGGCAATAGGAGGTCGTGTTGACTCTGAGTGCGGCAGCATTCGCCAGCACATCATGTCTTGGCTGCCTTGAAGATCGACTCCGTCGCAAGTCTTGATGTCGAGTTTCTGTCTGCTGGCTCTGCAATACCTGCCAGTTGCAAACAGGAATTCACAGCCATATGCACAAGCTGCAACGACACAATGAGTCAAGCAGGTTGTCACCGAAATAGACGCCTCCGACGACTTCGATCCCAGCCCGGCGCCGCGATTCAGAGGCCTGTGCAGAGCCTTGCACGATCGTCGTGCGCAGCAATGCTCGGCTGGCGATCGCGTGTCCGCGTCGTGCCAATAATGCATGGCCTCTTTGAGCCAAGTTATGGCCACCAAGCGCTGTAAATTCTTCGGACATGAAACCTGCTTGCCTGAGCAGTTGTAACGTACTTGCTGCCTGCGCCTGTTATCAGGGTTGATGCATGTAATCCAAGCGTTGGGTTGCGAGGCAGTGAGCCTGAGAATGCCACGATGGATGAGGCACAGATGCAAGAAGGCCACCTCAATCTGTGGACTACAAGCGCCTTAACGTCTTACTACATTAAAGTGCAAGCCGCTGGAGCTTGATGCCGTGGGAGGTTCCCAACACATCCAGCAAATGGTTGCCGACTTCGTGCAGAAGGCTAGTTCCCATCAAGCGGATGTGGCCGAGAAGCTCGTCTGAATCCGTGTGCTCGGCTGTTGTTGCATCTTGAGTGTGTCCAGATTATGAAGGTGCCCGAAGCGAATTGCATGCGAGTGCATGCTAGGTCACTTGCGCGGTTCGGTTTAAAGATGTTTGAGGATGTTGCTTGCTTCGGTGTCCATCCGCTACTCTTGCCTCCTTGTTGGCAGGGCTTTTGACTGGAAGGGCAATGGGCTTTCAGCATTTTTTTGGCCACATCTGTAGCGTCTATCTTGAAGACTTGGGCTCGGGTTTTGTGAAGGAGAAGTGGAGAAGCCAACAAGCCGTGGAAGACTCACAATTCGAGATCCCGACTCGCGGGCTCGCTGAGGCTGGAGAAGACCTTGGAGGAAGCCAGACAGGGCCCCTCGGGCCGCTTTATGCCGCTTTCAATGTCGTACAGAGCCCCCAGAAACACACTGTCATCGCACTTTATAGCCCCTGGATTGAGGTGCAGTGGGATCAGCTGATCAGACAGCCATGCAGAACGCCTTCGAACATTTGATGGCCCTGCAGAGGCCAGGGCTCACTGTAGCAGAGAACCGCGATCTCAACAGACGGGCGTTTGTAGCACTGCAGCCAGAGTGTGCCCTGAGAAGGGCGGCCCTTGGTCTGCTGGAATCCTTGCAGAGTGGCAGCATCAGGCACCAGCCCTCGGGAATTTCGTTCGAAATCTTCTTGATTTGGCAAACCTTGATGGGGACCATGGTTCGCGTCGTTCACGTTTAGTCATCGAGCCGAGTAGAAACAACTCAAGTATACGCAAATTGTCGGCTGATATCGACAGCCTGCAAGTATCTTGTCGAAGCACTGGTTGGCCTTCGTCCTGGACGCTGCTTGGGAAAGGTTGTTCTTCCAAGGTTCCCCAGCCTCCAGAAATGCAGAGGCAAGTAGTAGTTAGTTGGACCTGCGACGACCGGCATGCTGCTTTCAGACTCCCACAGCTGACTGGGAGGCAACTGGAGTCTCGACTGAGCATGGCTCGCGAACTGGGTCTGGCGCCAGATGCGTTTCCGGACGCTGCAGGCCAGCGTCGAATGTAGCCGGTAGCCCAACAGCGAGTCGCTTGCTTGTGATACCTCTTCCAGGTTGCCTGGCCTCAGACCAGATGCCGATATCAACAGAAGACCCTGACAGAACGTCTCTGTTCTCAAAGTTTTCCGGTGGGCCAAGACAATCGGAGCTTCAGTACAAGAGTGTGTGATGTGCGGGTAGCGACGTGTCTTCTCACTGACTTCCCTCGTCCATCGCCAGCCATTTTGCCCACACCCTCCAAAGCTCGGACTAGCCGCTCAGTTGTCAAGTCGGCCTGCCTTAATGGAGTGCTCTTCGGACACGGAGACTCCCCGAGCCGCCGGATCGGCTGGTGAAGTGGCACCTGCAAAGCTTGCAGATGGAGAGTCGAGCTTGAGCAGCCCCAATAGTTCACATTGCGATGCTCAAGAGCACTGCGATCATGAAGTCGATGTTTCATCACTTTGTGCGGATGTGCAGGTGTTTCGCGGCCAGTGGGATGATGAAGGGGTGTTTTTCTACCAGGCCTACAATGATGAGATTGCAGATTGGGCTGTTCAACATCAGCAGTTCGGCGGCCCGAACTTCAACCCCACCCGCATGACTTGGATCAAGCCCTCCTTTGCGTGGGTCCTCTATCGATCTGGCTATGCATGCAAGCACAACCAAACACGCATCTTGAAGGTGAAGCTTTCTCATGCTTCAGTTGCGGAGCTCTTGCAAAATTGTCAATGCCGCACAGGAGGGGGTGGCTCAAAGGGCCGGGTGCAGTGGGATCCGGAGCACGACCTCATGTCAGCAGACGGCAAAGTACCGAGAAAGATGCTTCGCCGCAGAGCAATTCAGATCGGCTTGAAAGGCTCCCTATCAGAAATGTATGTGAGAAGCGT